CCACTGCACTCCAGCTGGGTGACAAAGCCAGACCCTGCCAAAAAAAAAAAGAAAGAAAAAGAAAGAAGAAAGAAAGAAAGAAAGAAAGAAAGAAAGAAAGAAAGAAAGAAAGAAAGAAAGAAAGAAAGAAAGAAAGGAAGAAAGGACAATGAAAATATGTTTGTAATGCTTTAATACAGTAAGATGGCTGCATACAAAATTGAGTCTCCATTTACAATAGCAACAATAACAAAAATAAACACTTAGAATATGCAAGAACTACATGAAAACTTTAAGATGCTCTTTTTTTTGTTTGTTTTTTTGAGACTGAGTCTCGCGCTGTCGTACAGAACGGAGTGTAGTGGTGGCGCCATCTCAATTCACTGCAACCTCTGCCTCCCGGGTTCAAGCAATTCTCCTGCCTCAGCCATCCACGTATCTGGGATTACAGGCATATGCCACCATGCCCAGCTAATTGTTGTATTTTTATTAGAGACGGGGTTTCACCATGTTGGCCAGGTTGGTCTTGAACTCCTGACCTTGGGTGATCTGCCCACCTCAGCCTCCTAAAATGCTGTAAGATTACAGGTGTGAGCCACCATGCCCAGCCCTGTATCTGTTTTATACATCTATTTAAACATACAAAAATCAAAATTTTGTGCATATGTGGTCACACATGCACACACACACACACACACACACACATAAACCTGAACAACAACAACAAAAAGATGTATAATTGGCCTGGGTGACAGAGTGAGACTCTGTCTCAAAAAAAAAAAAAAAAAAAGAGAGAGAGAGATACCATATTCTTGGATAGGAAGACTATATTAGTGAAGATAAGCTAGGTTTTGCTGTTTTTTTAATAAAAATCCCAAGCCTCAGTGGCTTAAAACAACAAAAAATTTGCCGGGCGCGGTGGCTCACGCTTGTAATCCCAGCACTTTGGGAGGCCGAGGCAGGTGGATCACCTGAGGTCGGGAGTTCAAGACCAGCCTGACCAACATGGAGAAACCCCGTCTCTACTAAAAATACAAAATTAGCCGGGGTGGTGGCACATGCCTGTAATCCCAGCTACTCGGGAGGCTGAGGCAGGAGAATCGCTTGAACCCGGGAGGCGGAGGTTGCGGTGAGCCGAGATCGCGCCATTGCACTCCAGCCTGGGGAAAAAGAGCAAAACTCTGTCTCAAAAAACAACAACAACAACAACAACAACAACAAATTCACTTGTTGCTCATACTACGAATTCATCATGGCTTGGCAGGGAGTGAACTTCCCTGTATTCTTTCAGGGACATGTTTAAAGGAACAACAATCACCTTGAACATTGTGGGTTATTATGCCAGAGGAAAAAGAAACTCTGTAGGTCATCAAACCAACAATGACAAGCTCAGCACAGAAATAACATATCAATTCTGCTCACATCTCATTGACAAGTGCTGGCAAACAGCGCTAATAATGACCTCAAAGACTGCATCATAAAAAATAAAACGAAAATAACAGAGAATGGAAGTGATCAATAGGCAGATCAATAGAAAATAATAGCTGGGCGGCCAGGTGCGGTGGCTCGTGCCTGTAATCCCAGCACTTTGGGAGGCCGAGGTGGGCAGATCACGAGGCCAGGAGATCGAGACCATCCTGGCTAACACGGTGAAACCCCGTCTCTACAAAAAATACAAAAAATTAGCTGGGCGTAGTGGCGGGCGCCTGTAGTCCCAGATACTCAGGAGGCTGAGGCAGGAGAATGGCATGAACCCAGGAGGTGGAGCTTGCAGTGAGCCAAGATCGTGCCACTGCACTCCAGCCTGGGCGACAGAGCAAGACTCCGTCTCAAAAAAAAAAAAAAGAAAAGAAAAAGAAAGAAAATAATAGCTGGGCGTGGTGGCTCACACCTATAATCCCAGCACTTTGGGAGGCTGAGGTGGGCGGATCACCTGAGGTCAGGATTCGAGACCATCCTGGCCAACATGGTGAAACCCCGTCTCTACTAAAAATACAAAAAGTAGCTGGGCATGGTGGCACATGCCTCCAGCTACTCTGGAGGCTGAGGGCAGGATGATCGCCTGAACCCAGAGGGCGGAGTTTGCAGTGAGCCAAGATCATGCCACTGCACTCCAGCCTGGGCAAAACAGGGAGACTCCATCTCAAAAAAAAAAAAAAATTCCCCGAAATAATAGGTTGGTAATTTGTTAAGAATGTCGGGAAAATTGTTACTTGCCCTAATCCATTTCTGATACTTGCAACTTTCAAAAATCAGGACCAGGCCGGGCGCGGTGGCTGAAGCCTGTAATCCCAGCACTTTGGGAGGCTGAGATGGGCGGATCATGAGGTCAGGAGATCGAGACCATCCTGGCTAACACAGTGAAACCCTGTCTCTACTAAAAAAAAAAAATACAAAAAACTAGCCGGGCGAGGTGGCGGGCACCTGTAGTCCCAGCTACTCGGGAGGCTGAGGCAGGACAATGGCATAAACCCAGGAGGCAGAGCTTGCAGTGAGCTGAGATCGCACCACTGCACTCTAGCCTGGGCAACAGAGCAAGACTCCGTCTCAAAAAAAAAAAAAAAAATCAGGACCAGGACCTGCTGCTTGCTGCCTTCAGGTCACCCCAACAGCAAATTTGCCATGGCAACAACCTCCTACATAATCTGCCATCTCCCTTTGTTTTTATGTTTGTTTGGTTGGTTTTTTAATTTTGTTTTTGTTTGTTTGTTTGTTTGAGACGAAGGCACAGTCTTGCCTGACTGCAACCTCTGCCTCCCAGGTTCAAGCAATTCTTCTGCCTCAGCCTCCTGAGTAGCTGGGACTACATGTGTGTGCCACCATGCCTGGTAATTTTCTTTTCTTTTTTTTTTTTTTTTGAGACGGAGTCTCGCCCCGTTGCCCAGGCTGGAGGGCAATGGCGCGATCTCAGTTCACTGCAAGCTCCGCCTCCTGGGTTCAAACGATTCTCTTGCCTCAGCCTCCTGAGTAGCTAGGATTACAGGCACCCACCACCACGCCCAGCTAATTTTTGTATTTTTAGTAGAGACGGGTTTCACCATGTTAGCCAGGCTGATTTTTTGTATTTTTTTTTTTTAAATAGAGATGAGGTTTCACCGTGTTGGCTAGGGTGGTCTCGAACTCCTGACCTCAAGTGACCCATCTGCCTTGGCCTCCCAAAGTGCTGGGATTACAGGCATCACCCACTGCACCCTGCTTGTATTTACTTGTATTTTTAAATTTTTCTTTTCTGTTTATTTTTTATTTTTTCCTGAGATGGAGTCTTGCTCTGCCCCCCTGGCTGGAGTTCAGTGGCTCAATCATGGCTCACTGCAACTTCCGCCTCCTGGGTTCAAGCAATTCTCTTGCCCCAGCCTCCCAAGTAGCTGAGATTCCAGACACGTGCCACCATGCCCGACTAATTTTTGTATTTTTAGTAGAGACTGGGTTTCACCGTGTTAGCCAGGATGGTCTCAATCTCCTGGCCTCGTGATCTGCCCGCCTCGGCCTCCCAAAGTGCTGGGATTACAGATGTGAGCCTTTTTTTTTTTTCATTAAAAATTTTTTTGTGGGTACATAGTAGGTATATATATTTTGGGGGTACAGGAGATGTTTTGATACAGGCATGCAATGTATAATAATCATCAGGGTAAATGGGGTATCCATTGCCTCAAGCATTTATCCTTTGTGTTACAGACAATCCAATAATCCAATTATATTCTTTGTTATTTTTAAATGTACAATTACATTATTATTGACTATAGTCACCCCATTGTGCTTTCAATTGCTAGATCTTATTCATTCTATTTTTTTGTATCCATTAACCATCTCTACTTTCCCCCCAACCCCACTACCCTTTCTAGCCTCTGGTAACCATCCTTCTCTTTTTTTTTTTCTTGAGACTGGGTCTCACTCTGTCACCCAGGCTGGAGTGCAGTGGCGCGATCTTGGTTTACTGCAGTCTCGACCTCCTGGGGCTTGAGTGATCCTCCAAGCTGAGCTTCCTGAGTAGCTGGGATTACAAGCATGCACCGTCATGCCCAGCTAATTTTTTGTATTTTTTTGTAGAGACAGGGTCTCAATTTGTTGTCCAAGCTGGTCTCAAACTCCTGGGCTCAAGTGATCCTCCCCCCTCAGCCTTCCAAAATGCTGGGATTACAGATGTGAGTCACTGCACCTGTCCCATCCTTCTACTCTTTATGTCCATTAGTTCAATTGTTTTAATTTTTAGCTCCCACAAATAAGTGAGAACATGTGAAGTTTGTCTTTCTGTGCCCGGCTTATTTCACTTAACATAATGACCTCTAGTTCCATCCATGTTGTTGCAAATGGCAGGATCTCTTTTTATTATTATTATTATTATTATTATTTTGAGGCAGAATCTGACTCTCTCACCCAGGCTGGAGTGCAGTGGCACGATCAGCTCATTGCAACCTCCACCTCCCGGCTTCAAGTGATTCTCCTGCCCCAACCTCCCAAGTAATCCTGGGATTACAGGTGCACGCAACCATGCCTGTCTAATTTTTGTATTTTTTGCAGAGACAGGATTTCACCATGTTGGCCAGGCTGGTCTCGAACTTCTGACCTCAAATGATCCACCTGCCTCAGCCTCCCAAAGTGCTGGGATTACAGGCATGAGCCACCATTCCTGGTCTCATTCTTTTTTATGCTATTTCCCATTTTAAAAATCATACATTTCTGGTGAACCAAAAATGATGAAAGAAATTCAGAATAAGTGGAAAGCATCTCTAAACTTTTGAAGTTGATATTTTGGAGACCAACCATGATCCACAAAATATACTTGGCTTCTCTGCTGGAGATATATATGGATGAAATGGATCATGTTATATGTCATTTCTTATTTTCCAAAAAATATATCTCCTTTTGCTATCTTAAACAGGCTTCCTTCTCATAGACCTTATATAAGACAGTCTTTTAGAACATATGGTCTGACAAATATGAATATACTTCTGGGACAATGACAGAAAATATTTGCAATCAGAACTAAACCAGAAAACTAGACATATAATAATTGTATCTACCTGGCATACTGGATCAGCCTATAGGCAATGTACTTGCGGAATAGGTATCCCAACTGAACCGTGTCCGTATGAAGTATCTCAATTATGAGAGTCCTAGCCGTTGTGTGCAGCTGTGAAGGGAGTCCACAAGTTTTTATAGCCTGATTTAATAGTATCAGGTTCTTCTTCTGAGCCTCCACATCAACAAAATACCTCTTTTCTTCAAGTTCTTGAGGAGAGGAAGGGGGCACCATTATTTTGGGTTTCTTGGTACCTGAAACTGAACTCAGTATCCAGGGCTTGTCTATAGGAGGGAATCGGGATTTCTGGTACCATTCCAAAGGTGAAATCTGTGATGTTTTGAGTAGAGTAGTGAGAGAAGATAGTGATGTAGGCTTCATGAGAGTGGGAAGGGCCCCTTCACCAGTGTAAGGGGTTTGGGATACTGGGGTCCTGTATTTGGTGAGATGGGACTGAAATGTTCTAAATGATTCCATAGCAAAAGGATCTCGAAGTATCTGGGTTTCTTCAGAAGTGTCAGAGACCTCCGGCATTTGGAACTTCTTAGTGGTGAAAGGTACTTGAGCTACCTTGAAAGCTGGAGCACGAGGATGGATCAGTGCTGATTTAGATGTCAGAGAAGAAATAATTGCCGATCTTTTCTTAGCAACAGAAGGGGACCAACCTTTCTGGGGCTTTCCAGGGGCTGGGGACGGCCAGAGTGTGGGAGGATGTCTAGAGGTGGGAGGGATCCATAATGAAGAAGCTAGCCCAGGAAGGGTCCATGGTGCCAGATGCTGCCCAGAGGTAGGAGCCTGCAGATAGGGAGATTGTTCAACAGTGGCAGGAGGCTGGAATTCCTGGAGCTGCTCAGAGAAGGTTAAGGGTCCAGATTCCAGGAGGTCCCCAGGGATGGAAGAGGCTTCAGGAACTAAGCGCTGCCCAGGAGAAAGAGGAGCCCAGAGACTTGGAATCTGTCCAGAAGTGGGTGGGACTCCAGCTATAAGACGCTGCCTGGGGGCAAGAGGGGCGTTTGACATCTGAGGTGGCGGAGGAGTCAGAGAGGCCCTAGTTATGAAAAGCTCCCTAGAGCTAAAGGCCTCCAGTTCAAAGGGCTGCCCTGGAGTGGGAGGGGCCCCAAATTTTGGGAGCTGCCCAGGGGTGGGAGGGGCCTGTGGTGCCGGGAACTGCACAGAAGTGGATTGACCTCCGTATACCAGGGTCTGTCCAGAGGAACGAAGAGTCTGTGGTGCCCCAAGCTTCCCAGGCTCAGAAAGAATCCCCATTTCTAGGGGCTTCCCAGGGGGAAAGGGGCCTTGGTTGAGGGGAACCCTTGATATCGGCAATATAGAGGACTTCTCAGGAGTAGGAACTGATGATGCCAGGGACAGCCTAAGGCTTGGAGACAATCTTGATATGATGGATTGCCCAGTGGGGAGAGAAGCCTTCGGTTTCTGAAATGGTTTATGGGACCACTGGACTTCCTTAAGGGTGAGGGGCGATCCCAAGGTATGGGCTTTATCTAAGGTGAGAGGAACCCCTAACTTCGATAACTGTTCTTGAGCCTGTTCTAAGTTGATAGGGGACTCCAAAACCTGGGTTTGCTCAGGGGTAAGAGTGACAGCTGACACCCAGGCATTTACTGGGGTGATGGGGACTCCCAGTGCCTGGGCCTGCTGAGGGGTGAGAGTGATCCCCTGAGCCTGCAGCTGCTGAGGGGTGAGAGGGATCCCCAGGGCCTGGGCCTGCTGAGGGGTGAGAGTGATTCCCTGAGCCTGCATCTGCTGAGGAGTGAGAGGGATCCCCAGGGCCTGGGCCTGCTGAGGGGTGAGAGTGATCCCCTGAGCCTGCACCTGCTGAGGGGTGAGAGGGATCCCCAGGGCCTGGGCCTGCTGAGGGGTGAGAGTGATCCCCTGAGCCTGCACCTGCTGAGGAGTGAGAGGGATCCCCAGGGCCTGGGCCTGCTGAGGGGTGACAGTGATTCCCTGAGCCTGGGCCTGCTGACGGGTGAGAGGGATCCCCAATTCCTGAGCCTGCTGAGGGGTGAGAGGGATCCCCAGGGCCTGGGCCTGCTGAGGGGTGAGAGGGATCCCCAATTCCTGGGCCTGCTGAGGGGTGAGAGGGATCCCCAGGGCCTGGGCCTGCTGAGGGGTGAGAGGGATCCCAATTCCTGGCCTGCTGAGGGGTGAGAGGGATCCCCAGGGCCTGGGCCTGCTGAGGGGTGAGAGGGATCCCAATTCCTGGGCCTGCTGAGGGGTGAGAGGGATCCCCAGGGCCTGGCCTGCTGAGGGGTTAGAGTGATCCCCAATCCTGGGCCTGCTGAGGGGTGAGAGGGATCCCCAATTCCTGGGCCGGCTGAGGGGTGAGAGGGATCCCCAATTCCTGGGCCTGCTGAGGGGTGAGAGGGATCCCCAATTCCTGGGCCTGCTGAGGGGTGAGAGGGATCCCCAATTCCTGGGCCTGCTGAGGGGTAAGAGGGATCCCCAGGGCCTGAGCCTGCTGAGGGGTGAGAGGGATCCCCTGAGACTGTGCCTGCTGAGGGGTGAGATGGATCCCCAATTCCTGGGCCTGCTGAGGGGTAAGAGGGATCCCCAGGGCCTGGGCCTGCTGAGGGGTGAGAGGGATCCCCAATTCCTGGGCCTGCTGAAGGGTAAGAGGGATCCCCAGGGCCTGAGCCTGCTGAGGGGTGAGAGGGATCCCCAATTCCTGAGCCTGCAGAGGGATGAGAGGGATCCCCTGAGACTGTGCCTGCTGAGGGGTGAGAGGGATCCCCAATTCCTGAGCCTGCTGAGGGGTGAGAGGGATCCCCTGAGACTGTGCCTGCTGAGGGGTGAGAGGGATCCCCAATTCCTGGGCCTGCTGAGGGGTAAGAGGGATCCCCAGGGCCTGGGCCTGCTGAGGGGTGAGAGGGATCCCCAATTCCTGGGCCTGCTGAAGGCTAAGAGGGATCCCCAGGGCCTGAGCCTGCTGAGGGGTGAGAGGGATCCCCAATTCCTGAGCCTGCTGAGGGGTGAGAGGGATCCCCAGGGCCTGGGCCTGCTGAGGGGTGAGAGGGATCCCCAATTCCTGAGCCTGCTGAGGGGTGAGAGGGATCCCCAATTCCTGAGCCTGCTGAGGGGTGAGAGGGATCCCCAATTCCTGAGCCTGCTGAGGGGTTAGAGTGACCCCCAATTCCTGAGCCTGCTGAGGGGTGAGAGGGATCCCCAATTCCTGAGCCTGCTGAGGGGTGAGAGGGATCCCCAATTCCTGAGCCTGCTGAGGGGTGAGAGGGATCCCCAATTCCTGAGCCTGCTGAGGGGTGAGAGGGATCCCCAATTCCTGAGCCTGCTGAGGGGTGAGAGGGATCCCCAATTCCTGAGCCTGCTGAGGGGTGAGAGGGATCCCCAATTCCTGAGCCTGCTGAGGGGTGAGAGGGATCCCCAATTCCTGGGCCTGCTGAGGGGTGAGAGGGATCCCCAATTCCTGAGCCTGCTGAGGGGTGAGAGGGATCCCCAATTCCTGGGCCTGCTGAGGGGTGAGAGGGATCCCCAATTCCTGAGCCTGCTGAGGGGTGAGAGGGATCCCCAATTCCTGAGCCTGCTGAGGGGTGAGAGGGATCCCCAATTCCTGAGCCTGCTGAGGGGTGAGAGGGATCTCCAATTCCTGAGCCTGCTGAGGGGTGAGAGGGATCCCCAATTCCTGGGCCTGCTGAGGGGTGAGAGGGATCCCCAATTCCTGAGCCTGCTGAGGGGTGAGAGGGATCCCCAATTCCTGAGCCTGCTGAGGGGTGAGAGGGATCCCCAGGGCCTGGGCCTGCTGAGGGGTTAGAGTGATCCCCAGGGCCTGGGCCTGCTGAGGGGTGAGAGGGATCCCCAATTCCTGGGCCTGCTGAGGGGTAAGAGGGATCCCCAGGGCCTGGGCCTGCTGAGGGGTGAGAGGGATCCCCAATTCCTGGGCCTGCTGAGGGGTAAGAGGGATCCCCAGGGCCTGGGCCTGCTGAGGGGTGAGAGGGATCCCCAATTCCTGGGCCTGCTGAAGGGTAAGAGGGATCCCCAGGGCCTGAGCCTGCTGAGGGGTGAGAGGGATCCCCAATTCCTGAGCCTGCTGAGGGGTGAGAGGGATCCCCAGGGCCTGGGCCTGCTGAGGGGTGAGAGGGATCCCCAATTCCTGGGCCTGCTGAGGGGTTAGAGTGATCCCCAGGGCCTGGGCCTGCTGAGGGGTGAGAGGGATCCCCAATTCCTGGGCCTGCTGAGGGGTTAGAGTGATCCCCAGGGCCTGGGCCTGCTGAGGGGTGAGAGGGATCCCCAATTCCTGGGCCTGCTGAGGGGTGAGGGGGATCCCCAGGGCCTGAGCCTGCTGAGGGGTGAGAGGGATCCCCCGGGCCTGAGCCTGCTGAGGGGTAAGAGGGAACCCCAGGGCCTGAGTCTGCTGACGGGTGAGAGGGATCCCCAATTCCTGGGCCTGCTGAGGGGTGAGAGGGATCCCCAGTTCCTGAGCCTGCTGAGGGGTGAGAGGGATCCCCAATTCCTGGGCCTGCTGAGCGGTGAGAGGGATCCCCAGGGCCTGGGCCTGCTGAGGGGTGAGAGGGATCCCCTGAGCCTGGGCCTGATGAGGGGTGAGAGGGATCCCCTGGGCCTGAGCCTGCTGAGGGGTGAGAGGGAACCCCCGGGCCTGAGCCTGCTGAGGGGTGAGAGGGAACCCCAGGGCCTGAGTCTGCTGACGGGTGAGAGGGATCCCCAATTCCTGAGCCTGCTGAGGGGTGAGAGGGATCCCCCGGGCCTGAGCCTGCTGAGGGGTAAGAGGGAACCCCAGGGCCTGAGTCTGCTGACGGGTGAGAGGGATCCCCAATTCCTGGGCCTGCTGAGGGGTGAGAGGGATCCCCAGGGCCTGGGCCTGCTGAGGGGTGAGAGGGATCCCCAATTCCTGAGCCTGCTGAGGGGTGAGAGGCATCCCCAGGGCCTGGGCCTGCTGAGGGGTGAGAGGGATATCCAATTCCTGGGCCTGCTGAGGGGTGAGAGGGATCCCCAGGGCCTGGGCCTGCTGAGGGGTGAGAGGGATCCCCAATTCCTGGGCCTGCTGAGGGGTGAGAGGGATCCCCAGGGCCTGGGCCTGCTGAGGGGTGAGAGGGATCCCCAGGGCCTGAGCCTGCTGAGGGGTGAGAGGGATCCCCAATTCCTGGGCCTGCTGAGGGGTGAGAGGGATCCCCAATTCCTGGGCCTGCTGAGGGGTGAGAGTGATCTCGAGAGCCTGGGCCTGCTGAGGGGTGAGAGGGATCCCCAATTCCTGGGCCTGCTGAGGGGTGAGAGGGATCCCCTGAGACTGTGCCTGCTGAGGGGTGAGAGGGATCCCCAATTCCTGGGCCTGCTGAGGGGTGAGACGGATCCCTAGTTCCTGAGCCTGCTGAGGGGTGAGAGGGATCTCCAGGGCCTGGGCCTGCTGAAGGGTGAGAGGGATCCCTAGTTCCTGGGCCTGCTGAATGGTGAGCATGATCCCCTGAGCCTGGGCCTGCTGAGGGGTGAGCGTGATCCCCACTTCCTGGGCCTGCTGTGGTGTGAGATGAATGCATCTAGTGAGAGGCTGTCCGGAAATAGGAAGAGCTCCAGGCGAGGAGGGCTGTGGGGAGTGGGGAGGTGTGATTGATACGGGCTCCTTTTCATCAGGAAGATTCTCTAATGTCTTCAGATTCCTATGAGACTCTTTTCCTTCATATAACCACGGTACATCTTTCAATACACTCTTCCACCTGGGAGATAATGTCATTGGAGTTTGGGTGACCAGTTTTTCTAGCTCTTTAGGTTGTGTTTCCTTCATCTGCATCTGCTCCTTTGTTTTGATCTGCCTTCTGAGATCCTCCAGCCCCCTCTCAGGCTTCTGCTTTTCCTTCCCTTTCTCCCTTCTCATGTTTGGCCCCAGATGTTTCACTTCCTTCTCAATCTGCCTCATCTGTCCATTCTCCTTTTCCAAGAGCAACCCTTGTGCTTTCATTTTTCGGGTGCCTTCTTCCAGTCGCTGCAGACTTGACTTTGAAAGCTCTTCTTCCTCCTGTCCTCTTTGCTTTTGCTTCTCCTCTCGCTCAGCCTGCTTTGGAGTTGTCTGTTTTTGCTCTTTCTTCCACATCTCTTCTTTCTGCCACTGTTTCTGTTTCTGTTGTTCTTGCTTTCCCTCCTTCATCTGGAGCTGCGCCTTTTTCTCTTCCCAGTTCTCACTTATCTTCTCGTAGCGCTCCTTCAAGAGATTTCTTTCTTCCAGGAACTGCTGTTTGAGACTCATGCCAGACATTTGTTCTTGACCCTCTTGCGAATATTGCTCCCGCCTTTGTTTTTCCGTCTCCTTGTGGTCTTTCTGTACTGCTGAGACTGTTGGAATATCTCTTTCACTTTCTATTTCAGCCAAGATCATTTGCATTAAATTGTTAATTACTGGATCTGTGCTCTCATGTGAGAGGAAGGTGCTGCTTTCAGATTTTGCACTAATTGGTGACTTCTGAAAATGCAATCCTGGCATAAATGAGACTACCTTTTTTTGTTTTATAGGTTTCTCTCCAACTCGTTCTTCCTTTTTTATCTCTTTGTATTTTCTCAAGATTTTAGTCACAGTTTCAGCCACTTTTTGAAAATATTCCTCCATTTTTGCCTTTATGATTCCTAATTTTTCAGCTTCTGTTCTTTTTAATAACGCCTCTTCTTTCGGAACAGTCTTTTTGTCAAAAGGCTTTCCTGTGTTATCAATTTTCTGTTTTAGGAAAGCCATTATGGCTTTCTGAAATTCTTCGAGGTTACTCTGTTCACTTTCGCCATCTGGACTTTCTAGAACTCTAGTAGATTCTGAAGTCTCTTTAGCCACTCTTGAGAGTGATTTGACAAGTCGGTGAGACTTGACTTGTTTGGTCAACACTTCCTTCTCTTCAGTTGTTTCTTCTTTGCTTGTGGTAGTTCCTGAAGAGATACGGTGTTTCTTTCCTTTTATTTTTCCTTTCTGTGGCTCAGCGGTATCATCAAATTGGATCATATTGAGTGGCTCCACTAGGCTGCTAATTTCACCTTCGCCCTCTTTGTCCAACGACTCAATGGTGGGTTCCACTTTAAACTCTGCTGCAGTTGGGCGTTTGTCAAATGGAGATTCACGTTTGACCATCCTAAATTGCTCCAACATCATACTTGTTCCACTTTTGCCGCCTTGGCTCTTTGTTTCAGTTAAAAAGAGATGTTTTCTTTTTGCTTCAGTGGGTGACTTTGATTTGTCTTCAGGAAAGGATTTCATTTCTTTTCTTTTCTTTTTCAGTGCTTGTAACTCGTAGTATTGACTAAGTTTGGCCTCTGAGACTCTCTGTCCACCTTTATTATCACTCAGATTTGGTCCAGAGGTCTCAGATACATGTGTGCCTTTTGTGTGCTTTCTTTTCCATGACTGATACTCGTCAATCTCATCTTCCTGATAGACATCACCTTCCTTCAGTGATACGTTATCTTTAGTGCTATCTTCAGAAATATCTTCAGAAGCAACAGGTTGCTGTTGCAGTTCAGTTAAATCTGGAGTTCTTTCAGCTTGGGCTATATATGAAATACTGGACTCCCATTTTATCCCAGAGTCCTTGGTCTCTTTTCTTTGGACTTCATCTACAATATTTTCAAGGTCCTTGTCTAAAATATTGTCCATATTGTCCTCAATATCACCAACTTTGATAATGGCCCTGGATGACTGTGGAGAAGGTCCAGGTAACACTTTCAAGGTTGATGATGTGGACAATATTGCATATGCTTGTTCTGTAACAATTTTGGATCGAATAAGTTGTTCACATTTTTCTTCTGCATCATGAAGTTTCTGCTGAAGCATTTCATTTTCGTTACTGAGATCTTGTATTACCTTCAGAGAGAGCTCCTTTTCTGCCTCACTTGTCTCTTGTACACACACAGTGGAACTTTGGAAGTTAACACCTTTTAATTCATCATTTAGCATACTCAAAGCTTTAGAAAGGTTTACTATTGTTGATGATATATATTTAATAGCACTGTTTTCCAATGTACTGAACATTGTGGTGCCTTTGAGTTCCTGTAGCATACCTTGGATTTCTGAAACCTTTGTATTTGTTGCAAATTGATCACTAATCATCTGATCTGGTCTTAAAGCATGGGCTGTCGAAGGTCGTTTTATAACTCTTTCTTTCCAAGATTTCCATAGAGTACCTCTAGATACTGAAGAAAAAAACATAAAACAGTGAGATTGCATTTTTTTCTTTTGCATTGTGTTCTATCTATGTTTAAACCTAAGGAATTTAGCCTAGATTAACTATAACTAATTAAATATAAGATAAAGATTAATCTGAAAACTTTAGCTCTAAAATAAACAGTATTATTTTTAAAGGAATGACTCTTTTCACACAATCACCTAGAACTTTTTCTTTCTTTTTTGTTGAGAGGGGATCTCCTTATTTCTCAGGCTGGAGTGCAGTGGCATGATTACTGCAGCCTCAACTTCCTGGGCTCAAACAATCCTCTCACCTCAGCCTCCCTGCCTGAGTTGCTGGTGTTACAGGTGCAAGCCACAGCGCCTGGCAATCACCTAGAACTTCTACCTCCAGAGTTTAGGACATGAATTCAGCTGTGACCTCAACTTAATTTTAGTTACAAGTTTGGGGTTAGATATAATGTATCTAAGACAAGGCCAGGGCTTGGTGGTTCACACCCGTAATCCCAGCACTTTGGGAGGCCGGGGCAGGCAGATCACCTGAGGTCAGGAGTTCAAGACGAGCCTGGCCAACATGGCGAAACCCTGTCTCTACTGAAAATACAAATATTAGCCGGGGTGGTGGTGCGTGCCTGCAATCCCAGCCACTCAAGAGGCTGAGGCAGGAGAATCGCTTGAACCCAGGAGGCAGAGGTTGCAGTGAGCCAAGATTGCACCACTGCACTCAAGCCTGGGTGAGAGAGTGAGACTCCGTCTCAAAATACATACATACATACATACGTACATAAAATAAAAGATGTAATTCAAGACAAAACTTTTCTCTGGCTTTGGTTATTCTAGCGCTTTCCATTTTCTTTCTCAGATTCGTGTCTCTTTTCTCTTTTTTCTGAATCAAAGCTAGCCTTGGTTCTTTCAAAAGTGTCATAAATCAACAGATAAAAAAGACACACATTTGGCCAGGCACAATGGCTCATGCCTGTAATCCAAGCACTTTGGGAGGCCAAGGCAGGTGGATCACTTGAGGCCAGGAGTTCATGACCAGCCTGGCCAACATGGTGAAAGCCTATCTCTACTAAAAATACAAAAATTAGCCAGGCATGGTGGCAGGTGCCTGTAGTCCCAGCTACTTGGGAGGCTGAGGCAGGAGAATTGCTTGAACCTGAGAAGCAGAGGTTGTGGTGAGCCGAGATCACACCACTGCACTTCAGCCTGGGCAACAGTGAGACACACATTTGAAAAGATTTGAAATCTTTTTTTTCCCAAAAAGCAAAGACAAAACTGGGCAAAACTGCCAAAACAACAATTTTAAGACTTTGAAATTGACCAACGGTATACAACACATTGAGAAGCATTTATTCACAAAAAACTACTGAACCTCAGTAACAAACGGTGAAAGTTTGCAAACTTGGAGTTGCATCCATCCTCAACCGCCAGATCCATGGCCTGGAACTTCTACCAGAGTGAGGCAGGCTGTGAGGACTGACAACTCTACTGCCTACGGGGATGATTTGACTTGAGCAAAGCCTGGAAAAACCCATGCCTAGTGGCATCGTTGGCTGAGGCAGGAGAATCGCTTGAACCAAAGAGGCAGACGTTGCAGTGAGCCGAGATCACGCCACTGCATCCAGCCTGGGTGACAGAGTGAGACTGTCTCAAAAGTAAATAAATAAATAAACAAATAAAAATAAATCATACAAAGTATGTTTCCCAATTGCAATGGAATCTACATATATGTAAGGATTATATATAATGTCATACTAGTTCTCTTATTGAACCCTGAGTGATACGAGTTCTTAGCACAATACTAAAATCATGATTCATAAAAAAAAAATTGATACACTTATTGTATTTCATCAAAATTAAACATTTTTAGGCTTCAAAAACACCATAAGAAAATGAAAAGACAAGTCATAGGCAGGGAGAAAATACTTGCAAATCACTTGTCTGATAAAGGACTTATATCCAGCCAGGCGTGGTGACTCATGCCTATAATCCCAGAACTTTGGGAGGCTGAGGCAGGAGGATCATTTGAGCTCAGGAGTTTGAGACTAGCCTGGACAATACGATGAGACTCTGTCTCTACAAGAAGTTTTTAAAAATTAGCTGGGTGTGGTAGCACACACCTGTAGTCCCAGCTACTCAGGAGACTGAGGCAGGAGGATCCCTTGAGCCCAGGAACTCCAGGCGGCAGTGTACTATTATTATACCAATGCACCCCAGCTTGGGCAACAGGGCAAGACCCTGTCAAAAAGAAAAAAAAACAAACCCTATATCCAGAAGCTGCAAAGAAACGTTAAAACTCCACCAGGCACGGTGGCTCATGCCTGTAATCCCAGCACTTTGGGAGGCCGAGGAGGGTGGATCACAAGGTCAGGAGTTCAAGACCAGCCTGGCCAAGATGGTGAAACTCCATCTCTTCTAAAAATACAAAAATCAGCCAGGTGTGGTGGCATGCGCCTGTAATCCCAGCTCTCGGGAGGCTGAGGCAGGAGAATCACTTGAAGCCGGGAGGTGGAGGTTGTAGTGAGCTGAGATCATGCCACTGCACTCCAGCCTGGGTGACAGAGTGAGACTCCATATCAAAAAAAAAAAGAAATGTTAAAACTCAATTTTTAAAATGGGCAAGTATTTGAATAGATATTTCACCAAAAAATATATGGAAATGTCTTAATAAGTATGTGAAACACGCTCAGCATCATTTGCCATTAGGAAAATGCAAACTAAAACCACAGTGAGATACCACTTCACATGTACTAGGATGGCCATAATAAAAAAACAGACAGACAGAGGCCGGGTACCTGTAATCTCAGCACTTTGGGAGGCAGAGGTGGGTGGATCGCCTGAGGTCAGGAGTTTGAGACCAGCCTGACCAACATGGAGAAACCCCATCTCCACTAAACATACAAAATTAGCAGGGCACGGTGGCACATGCTTGTAATCCCAGCTACTCAGGAGGCTGAGGCAGGAGAATCGCTTGAACCCAGGAGGCGGAGGTTGCAGTGAGCTGAGATTGCGCCATTGCACTCCAGCCTGGGCAACAAGAGTGAAACTCCGTCAAAAAAAAAAAAAAAAAAAGACAGACAATAACAAGTGTTGTTGAGGAAATGGAGAAATTGGAACCTGCATACATTGCTGATAAGAGTGTAAAATGGTACAGTCACTTTGGTAAATAGTTATGAGTTTCTTTAAAAGTTAAACATAAACTTACCATATGTCCTAGCAATTCAATTCCTAGCTATCTACCCAAAATAAGTAGGTAAATAATGGCATTATTCATAAAAGCCCCAAAGTGGAAACAATTCAAATGTACATCAACAAGTGAATGGGTAAACAAAATGTGGTATATCCAAACATGTGTAAACTAACAATGAAAAGAAATTACCAAAATGTCCTATAACATGGCTGAATTTAGAAAACATTATACTAGTTGAAAGAAAATAAACAGAAAATACTACATATAATATGATTCTGTTTGTGTGAAATATCCAGATAAAACAAATGTAGTATAAAAGAAAATACATTAGTGACTGGTGCTGCCGATGGGTATAAGGATTGACTATAAATTAGTATGAGGGATTTTTTGGGATAATGGAAATGTTCTAAAATTAGATTGTTGGCTGGGTGCGGTGACTCACACCTGTAATCCCAGCACTTTGGGAGGCCAAGGCTGGTGGATTATTTGAGGTCAGGAGTTTGAAATCAGTCTGGCCAACATGGTAAAACCCCTGTCTCTACTAAAAATACAAAAAAACTAGCCAGGCATGGTGGCAGGTGCCTGTAATCCCAGCTACTCCAGGGGCTGAGGTACAAGAATCGCTTGAACCCAAGAGGCGGAGGTTGCAGTGAGCCAAGATCTCACCACTGCACTCCAGCCTAGGTGACAGGGTGAGACCCTGTCTCAAAAAAAAAAAAAAAAAAATTAAAATTAATAAATTTAAAATAAATAAAAATAAAATTAGATTGTGGTGATAACTGCATAACTCTGTAAATACATGGAAAATCATTTAATTGTATACTTAACATGTATGCAAATTATGCCTTAATAAAGCTGGGGTTTTTTTGGCCAGGTGCAGTGGCTCATGCCTGTAATCCCAGCATTTTGGAAGGCCAAGTCAGGTGGATAACTTGAGGTCAGGAGTCTGACACTAGCCTGGCCAACATGGTGAAACCCTGTCTCTATTAGAATTCAAAAATTAGCCAGGCGTGGTAGTACATGTCTGTAGTTCCAGCTACTTTGGAGGTGGAGGCAGGAGAATCGCTTGAAACCTGGAGGCAGAGGTTGCATTGAGCTGAGATCAGGCCACTGCACTCCAGCCTGAGTGATAGAGCGAGACTGTCTGGAAAAAAAAAAAAAACAACTCCATCTACTCCAACTCCAAAATCATAAAGCATGCTTACATATTTTTTTCTTTTGTTTCTTCTTTTCATCAAGGAAAGCTGTACTAAATCTGCTTAGTATCTTGACATTTTTCTCAATAGCTTTTAACGTATCTGGTAACATCTCCATTCGTGCTATCCAGTGGTAGTGTTCATCAACATCCATTAGAGTCATCTCAGACAAAACGGCATCTTGAAGAGAGTAAAAAAAAAATCGTTTTTATGCAGAAAAATAAAAATCTATAGCTACATAGGCTTATAATATTGGGTAACTACTCAATATAGTAAATTGGGGAATATAGGTATCTCACACTTACTGCCATTCTGAGGCTTTTCTCTATGAAGAAATTAAAAAGGAAGAAACTTGGAATAGAAGGCTAAACAGTAAGTCTTAGACATAAATACATTAATCAGGTTAAAAAATGTCTGGTTTGGTACCTAAAATTATGTGTGTGTGTATGTGTGTGTTTTGTTTTGAGACAGAATCTTGCTCTGTCCAGGCTGGAGTGCAGTGGCGCTATCTCAACTTACTGCAACCTCTGCCTCCCGGGTTCAAGCAATTCTCCTGTCTCAGCCTCCCGAGTAGCTGGGATTACATGCATGTGCCACCATGCCCAGCTAATTTTTGTATTTTTAGTAAAGACGGGGTTTCACCATGTTGGCCAGGCTGGTCTTGAACTCCTGACCTCAGGTGATCCACCCACCTCAGCCTCCCAAAGTGCTGGGATTATAGGCATGAGCCCCCACACCCGGCCTATGTGTATGTGTTTTAATATTGGAGATCTAAGCCCTAATTAACTCATTTGGCAAGTTATCCAGTTTTTTTTGTTTTTTTTTTTTTTTTAAGACTGAGTCTCACTCTCACCCAGGTTGGAGTGCAGTGGCGCAATCTCAGCTCAGTGCAACCTCTACCTCCCAGGTTCAAGCGATTCTCCTGCCTCAACCTCCCTAGTAGCTGGGACCAGAGGCATGAGCCACCACGCCCAGCTAATTTTTGAATTTTTAGTAGAGATGGGGTTTCACCATGTTGGCCAGGCTGATCTCAAACTCCTGACCTGGGGTGATCTGCCAGCCTCGGCCTCCCAAAGTGCTGGGATTACCAGCATGAGCCACCGCACCCGGCCATTATCCAGTATTTATAACCCTCGTTGCATGAAATTTCTAGCAACAAAATAAAATTAATTCCCTTGTTTGGTATTCTTAGTTTAATCATTCTTTTTTTTTTTTTTTTTTTTTTGGAAATGGAGTCTCACTCTGTCACCCAGGCTGGAGTACAGTGGCGCGACCTCGGCTCACTGCAACCTCCACCTCCCAGGTTCAAACAATTCTCCTGCCTCAACCTCCATAGTAGCTGGGAATACAAGCACATGCCGCCACACCTGGCTAATTTTTTGTATTTTAGTAGAGACGAGGTTTCACCGTGTTACCCAGGCTGGTCTCGAACTCCTGAGCTCAGGCAATCCACCTGTCTCAGTCTCCCAAAGTGCTAGGATTACAGGCGTTAGCCACCACACCTGACCAGTTTATTCATTGTTTCATTCAACCAGTGTCTACTCTGACGTGTGCTATTCTAGATGCTGTAGATACAACATTAAGTAAAACAAGTTCCCTGACTTCATACTGCTTACCTTCTGGTGAAAGGAGACAGAGAAAAAGTTAATTATATAGATACTAATGCTATAGACAAAAATAAAGAAATGTAGGCTGGGCGCAGTGGTTCATGCCTGTAATCCCAGCACTTTGGGAGGCCAAGGCAGGTGGATCGTTTGAGGTAGGAGTTCAAGACCAGCCTGGCCAACATGGTGAAACCCTGTCTCTACTAAAAATACAAAAATTAGCTGGGTGTGGTGGTGCATGCCTCTGGTCCCAGCTACTAAGGAGGTTGAGGCAGAAGAATCGCTTGAGCCTGGGAGGCGGGAGTTGCAGTGAGCCGGAATCGCACCACTGCATTCCAGTCTGGGTGACAGAGTGAGACCCTGTCTTGGGGGAAAAAAAAAAAAAGGTAAAGTGTAAGAAAAAGTGCCAGGTGGTAGGGATTGGGGATGGTCAGAGAACATCTCATTTTAAAGTGGAATTTAAGCAGGGAATGAGCCATGTGTCCATCTGGTGGAAGATGCTCCAGATAAGGGAATAGTATGCATAAAGACACTGCTGGCATGCTTTAAAAAAAAAAGGAGGCCAGCATAGCTGGCGCTTAGTGAACAAGTCTATATTTTTCCTATTTTATTCCTACTGGAATAGAGGATAACCATTCTCTGAATAACCTCCTTAGTCTTTTCTTCTTTAGTCTGATTAATCCTTCAAAATTTACTTATACATTCTCTTCTCTATCTTTTTCATTAACTTTATGGTTTTACTCTGAACCGCTTCTGTAAACTTACTCCATTCTTCCAACCAGATCAGAATGTTGGCAAGAGTCTTTTCTCTAATTTCAAGAGTCTTAGCATAAGTAGCCATTTTCTCAAGAAAATTGGTTCTCTGTTTTTTCTTTTGTTCTGTAAGGGAGACATTCCTTTCAGAGGACGAGGTAAAAACAAGAGTATAGCGAGTCATTATCCGATGCACATTGTTCATTATTTCACTCAGCTGCATATCAATGTCCTGTAAGAATAAGAAGGGGGTATGTATTAATGCTCAGTTTGAAAAGAAGCTTTGGTCACCTTTCTTCTCAGAATGTCAGTGACAGTTAATTTAAAGCTATCCAATTAAAGTCTTGCTAATTCTAGCTTTATTGTGAGTCTCAAATTTTCCCTCTTAAAAAAAATTCCTTTTTCTGCCCTCATCATCCTAGCAATGCTATAATATAATGGAAAGAACATTGGGTTTGAAGCCATATCTGGATCTTAACTCTAGGTCTTTCATTAAAATGACTTTTAATAAATCACAGCATTTCTGAGCTCCCTCTGCAACCTCTGTAAAATGATGGAGATACTAAATACACAGTTGATGTGAAGTGTATAAAATTTGTGAAAATGCTTTATAAACTGTAACTGCTAAAAAAAAAAAAAAGAAAAAGAAAAGAAAGAAAATAAAAGAAAACAGAAAAAAACGCAAGTTGCTTCTTTTTTCCTTTCTTACCTGGAAAACAGTTATCAGAATATGCCTCAAACATACTTTTCTTTCATTATCTCCTTTGCTCAAGAATCTTATCACTTATTAGCTTAGTACATTGAGTATATGGGGAAGAAAAAGAATTTTATCAGCAAATCTCTTTTCTTCCTCACTCTATCCTAGAAATTTTTTATGGATGTAATTACCACCTCATATACGGCATTTGGAAATTTGTGAAGTCATTTTTGGTTGTCATAATAATTGTGAGGGTGGACTACTGGCATTTAGTAGAGGGTACTAAGGAATGCTAGCCCATCCTACAGTGCAACGGACGGTATCACACAATGAAGAACTGTCTCAAATCCTGTGTGTCTTGTGAATATCTCACAGGACATTCATGTAGGAAAAAAAAAATCTATTTATAATTATCCAAGCCTAAAACCAAACTCCAAATCTAAACACAGACCAAGATCAGTGTCTCACACCTGTAATCCGAGTGCTTTGGGAGACCAAAGTGGGAGGATCTCTGGAGGCCATGCATTCAAAACCAGCCTGGGTGACAAAGTGAGATCCTGCCTCTGAAAAAAAAATTTTTTTTGACGGGTCATGGTGGCTCACGCCTGTAATCCCAGCACTCTGGGAGGCTGAGGTGGGTGGATCACTTGTGGTCAGGAGTTCAAGACCAGCCTGGCCAACATGGTGAAACCCCGTCTGTCCTAAAAATACAATAAATGAGCTGGGCATGGTGGAGGATGCCTGTAATTCCAGCCACTCGGGAAGCTGAGGCAGGAGAATGTCTTGAATTCAGGAGGTGAAGGTTGCAGTGAGCCAAGATCGCCGCACTACTGCACTCCAGCCTGGGCAACAAGAGTGAAACTCCATCTCAAAAAAAAAAAAAAAAAAAAAAATTAACACAAAGTGTTTTTTGCCCAATTTAATGATACACTGCAATTTCCACAAATACAAATATTAAAAAAAAAAAAAAAAAAAAAAAAAAAAAAAAAAAAAAAAAAAAAAAAAAAAAAAAAAAAAAAAAAAAAAAAAAATACAAATATTATGTAAATCAATAAAAAAATGTTATTTAAAATTTCTCCAAGAAATTTTCACCATTCTGGAACACCACAGTACCAACAGCAATGCACTAGTGATAAGAATTTTTTTTTTTTTTTTTTTTTGAGACGGAGTCTCGCTCTGTCGCCCAGGCTGGAGTGCAGTGGCGGGATCTCAGCTCACTGCAAGCTCCGCCTCCTGGGTTTACGCCATTTTCCTGCCTCAGCCTCCCGAGTAGCTGGGACTACAGGCGCCCGCCGCCTCACCCGGCTAGTTTTTGTATTTTTTAGTAGAGACGGGGTTTCACCGTGTTAGCCAGGATGGTCTCGATCTTCTGACCTCGTGATCCGCCCGTCTTGGCCTCCCAAAGTGCTGGGATTACAGGCTTGAGCCACTGCGCCCAGCCGATAAGAATATTTAGTGCCAGTACAATAAAGCTGAATTTGTATCAGCCTCCATTTGTATCTTTCATATTTATTTTAATTTTACATATAGATGCAAGCCTCTGTCTACTTCTAGTGAAGTTTGACCTAGGATTTACACACTGAAATGCATGTTATTATAAATTGTTTTCCTTTTACTTATTCTCACACATATTAATTTTTAAAGTATAGGTAGTTTATGAATATCATTTTACAGCAATAAAAAAATGTTTAAAATATTTTTTAAAGGCATAGTAAATCTGACAGTTAAGACACTGGTTCAGCCCTTCCAACTTTATTATTCTTTCATTTTGGCTTCAGACAAACTGAACTCTCTCTACACTCCTTATAATAAGAGTAAGATGAGCATGTAGTTCTCTTCCCTTTTGTGGCCATCATTGAAGCCAGGGTGGCCGAAATGAAGTTCAATCCCTTTGTGACTTCCGACCGAAGCAAGAATCACAAAAGGCATTTCAATGCACCTTCCCACATTCGCAGGAAGATTATGTCTTCCCCTCTTTCCAAAGAGCTGAGACAGAAGTACAATGTGCGATCCATGCCCATCCGAAAGGATGATGAAGTTCAGGTTGTATGAGGACACTATAAAGGTCAGCAAATGGGCAAAGTAGTCCAGGTTTACAGGAAGAAATATGTTATCTTCACTGAACGGGTGCAGCGGGAAAAGGCTAATGGCACAACCGTCCATGTGGGCACTCGCCAAAGCAAGGTAGTTCTCACTAGGCTAAAACTGGACAAAGACGGCAAAATGATCCTTGAACAAAAAGCTAAATCTCACCAACTAGGAAAGGAAAAGAGCAAATACAAGGAAGAAACAATTGAGAAGATGCAAGAATAAAGTAATCTTATATACAAGCTTTGATTAAAATTTAAAACCAAAAAAAAGAGTAAGATTTGGATTTTGCCAACCAAATCATCATGCAAAATGAGTATTCTGATGTTAGGTGTATCTGCTGTTACAGCCAATAATAATTTAAGTCAGGAACACAGGAGAGCCAAGGCAAAGTTTGCTAAGCCAAATGATGAAGAATAACATTACAAGCTAACACATAGCACAGTGATCAAGGAAAAAATACTACCAACTCCTCATAAATTCTCCCAGAAAAATGAAGAGGAAAAAATACTTCCCAACTCATCCTTTGAGATCAATGTATACTGAAGACAGACAAAGGCACTACAAAATAAGAAAACTAAATACAAACATACCCGATGAATATTGATACAGAAAACCTTACCAAAATACTAGCAAACAGAATTCAACAGCACATTAAAAGGATTATACACCATGATCAAGTGAGATTTATTTCTAGAATGCAAGGATGGTTAAATATACGTAAATCAATCAATGCAATGTGCCAAATTAACAGAATGACAGAAAAAAAAACACATATGATCATCACAATTGATTTAGAAAAAGCATTTGACAAAATTTAACACCCTTTCATGATAAAAAAAGAAAAAAATACAAAAGAGGCTGGGCACAGTAGCTCATGCCTGTAACCCCAGCACTTTGAGAGGCCAAGGCAGAAGTTTCGCTTTAGTCCAGGAGTTCGAGACCAGCCTGAGCAACATGGTGAAACCCTGGCTCCACAAAAAATAAAAAATATCAGCCAGGTATGGTGGCGTGTGCTTATAGTTACAGCTAGTCAGGAGGCTGAGGTGTGAGGATTGCTTGAACCTGGGAAGTCAAGGCTGCAGTGAGCCATGATTGTGCCACTGCACTCCAGCCTTGGTGACAGAGTGAGCCCTTGTCTTAACAAGAACAAAAAACACACACTAAAGAAACTAGAAATAGAAGAAAACTTCTTCAACATAATAAAGGCCATATACGAAAAGCCCACAGATTATAATATACTCAATAGTGAAAGACTGCAAGTTTTTCTCCAAGATTAGGAACAAGGCAAGGAGGCCCACTTTCACCATCTATCTAACCTAGTACTGGAAGTCCTAGACACCACAATTAGGCAAGAAAAAGAAATAAAAGGCACACAATTTAGAAAGGAAAAAGTAAAATTATCTCTGTTCACAGATAACATGATCTTAAATTGTAGAAACCCTACATATGTAGAAAGCTCTATATACGTAGAAAGCCCTAAGGCTTACCCCCCTGTGCTCATATGCACGCGCACGCACACACACACACACAAACACACTACTAGAACAATAAATTCAGCAAAGTTGCAGCGTAAAAAATACAGATCAGTCACATTGCTAACTACACTAACACTGAGCAATATGAAAAAGAAATTAAGAAAACAATGCCATTTATAATAGCATCAAAAATAATAATGTATTTAGAAATTGCAGCTCACACCTGTAATCCCAGCACTTTGGAAGGCCGAGACAGGTGGATCACCTGAGGTTGGGAGTTTAAGACCAGTCTGGCCAACATGGTGAAACCCTGTCTCTACAAAGATACAAAAATTATTCAGGTATGATGGTGGGTGCTTGTAGTCCCAGCTACTTGGGAGGCTGAGGTGGGAGAATCACTTGAACCTGGGAGGCAGAGGTTGCAGTGAGCTGAGATTGCGCCACTGCACTCCAGCCTGGGTAACAGAGAGAGACTCTGTCTCAAAAATAATAATACTGAGAGGCCAAGACAGGTGGATCACTTGAGGTCAGAAGTTCGGGACCAGCCTGGCCAACATGGTGAAACCCCATCTTTACTAAAAATACAAAAATTAGCCAGCACAGTGGCAGGCACCTGTAATCCCAGCTACTCAGGAGGCTGAGGCAGAAATGCTTGCACCCAGGAGGCGGAGCTTGCAGTGAGCTACGATCGCACCACCGCACTCCAGCCAGGGCAGCAGAGCAAGACTCCATCTCAAAAATAAATAAATAAATAAAAATTTAAAATAATAATAATAATAAATTTAGAAATAAACTTATCCAAGGAGGTAAAAGACTTGTATACTTGTTGTTTTCACTACAAAATGTTACTGAGAGAAATTAAACACAAGTAAATTGAAAGATATCCCATGTTTATGGATTGGAATATTTAATGCTGTTAAGATGTCAATACTACCCAAACCAATCTACATATTAATACAACCTCTATCA